GGGGTGAGCATCTCTCAGACACTAGGTGGGAGGGGTGGGCATCTCTCAGACACAAGGGGGAGGGGTGGGCCTCTCTCAGACACTAGGTGGGAGGGGTGGGCATCTTTCAGACACTAGGTGGGATGGGTGGGCATTTCTCTGACACAAGCGGGGAGGAGTCGGCATCTCTCAGACACTAGATGCATGGGTGGGTATCTCTTAGACACTAGGTGGGAGGGGTGGGCACCTCTCAGACACTAGGTTGGAGGGGTCGGTATCTCTCAGACACTAGGTAAGCGGGGTGGGCATCTCTCAGATGCTAGGTTTTAGGGGTGGGCATCTCTCAGACATGAGCCCTTAGTCGTCTACCCTAGGTGGAAGGGGTGGTCATCTCTCAGACACTAGGTGGGACACTTGGGCATCTCTCCGACACTAGGTGGGAGGGGTTGGCCTCTTTCAGACACTAGGTAGGAGGAGTGCTCATCTCTGAGACACTAGGTAGGAGGGGTGGGCATCTCTGAGACAATATGTGGGAGGGGTGTGCACCTCTAAGATACTAGGGGGGAGGGGTCGGCATCTCTCAGACACAAGGCCTTAGTCTTTTACACCACTTGGGAGGGGTGGGCATCTCTCAGACACTAGGTGGGAGGGGTGGGATTTCTCAGACACTAGGTGGGAGAGGTGGGCATCTCTCAGACACTAGGTGGAACTGGTGGGCATCTCTCAGACACTAGGTGGGAGGGTTGGGCATCTCTCAGACATGAGCCCTTGGTCCTCTACACTAGGTGGGAGGGGTTGGCACCTCTCAGACACTAGGTGGGGGGCGTGGACTTCTCTCAGCACAGGTGGGTGGGGTGGGCATATCTCAGACACAGGTGGGTGGGGTGGGCATCTCTCTCACACTGCGTGGTAGTGGTGGGAACCTCTCAGACACTAGGTGGGAGGGGTGGGCATCTCTCACTCAGTAGGTATGAGGATTGGTCCCCTCTCAGACAGTCGGTGTGAGGGGTGGGCATCTCTCAGACACTAGGTGGCAGGAGTGGGCATCTCTTCGACCCTAGGCTTTCGTCCTCTGCACCAGGTAGGTGGGTGGGCAACTCTTACACACTAGTTGGGTGTGTGGGCACCTCTCTCACACTACGTCGGAGGGGTGGACACCTCTCAGACACTAGGTGCGAGGGGAGGCCTTTCTCGGACATTAGTCTTTGGTCCTCTACACCAGATGGGAAGGGTGGACACCTCTCACACAGTCGGTGGGAGGGGTTGGCATCTCTAAGACACGAGCCCTTGGTCCTCTACATTATGTGGGAGTGGTTGGCACCTCTCAGACACCTGGTGGGAGGGGTGGGCATCTCTCAGACACTAGGTGGGAAGGATGGGCATCTCTCAGACATGAGCCCTTGGTCCTCTACACTCGGTGGAAGGGGTGGGCACCTCTCAGACACTAGGTGGAGGGGTGTACATCTCTCTGACACTAGGTGGGACTCTTGGGCATCTTTCAGACACTATGTGGGAGGGTGGGCATCTTTCAGACACTACGTGCGAGGAGTGGGCATCTCTGAGACACTAGGTGGGAGGGGTGGGCATCTCTGAGACACTAGGTGGGAGGGGTGGGCACCTCTCAGACTCTAGGGGTGAGGGGTGGGCATCTCTCAGACACCTGGTGGGAGGGGTGGGCACCTCTCAGACACTAGGTGGGAAAGCTGGGCATCTCTCACACACTAGGTTGGTGGTGTGGGCACCTCTCTCACACTACATGGAAGGGATGGACACCTCTCAGACACTAGGTGGGAGGCGTGGGCTTCTCTCAGACACGAGTTCTTGGTCCCCTACACTAGGCGGGAGGGGTTAGCATTTCTCAGAATTAGGCGCGAGGTGTGGGCATCTCTCAGACATGAGCCCTTAGTCCTCTACACTGGTTGGGAGTGGTTAGTGTTTCTCAGACTCTAGGTGGGAGGGGTGGGCATTCTCAGACACTAGGTGGAAGTGGTGGGCATATCTCCGACACAAGGGGAGGGGTGGGCATCTCTCAGACTCTAGATGGATGGGTGGGTATCTCTCAGACACTATGTGAGAAGGGTGGGCCTCTCTCAGAAACAAGGTGGGAGATGTGGGCATCTCTGAGACACGAGCCCTTGGTCCTCTACCCTAGGTGGGAGGGTTGGGCATTCTCAGACACTAGGTGGGAGGGCTGGGCATCTCTCAGACACTAGGTGGGAGGGGTGGCCATCTCTCAGACACGAGCCCTTGGTCCTCTACATTATGTGGGAGGGGTTGGAACCTCTCAGACACTAGGTGGGAGGGTTGGGCATATCTCAGACACGAGGCCTTGGTCCTCTACACTAGGTTGGAAGGGTGGACATCTGTCAGACACTAGGTGGCAGGGGTGGGCATCTTCAGACACTAGGTGGAAGCGTGGGCATCTCTCAGACACTAGGTGGGAGGGGTGGGCATCTCTCAGTCACGAGTCCTTGATCCTCTACACTAGGTGGGAGGGGTGGGCATCTCTCAGACTCTAGGTGGGAGGGTGGGCATTTCTCAGACTGGAGCCCTTGGTCCTCTACACTAGGTGGAAGGGTTGGGCACCTTTCAGACACTAGGTCGGAGGGGTGGGCATCTCTCGCACACTAGGTGGGAGGAGTGGTCCCCTCTCAGACACTCGGTCAGAGGGGTGGCCATCTCTCAGACACTAGGTGGGAGGGGTGGGCATCTCTTAGACCCTAGGCTTTTTTCCTCTGCACCAGATAGGAGGGATGGGCCTCTCACACAGTAGGCTTTGGTCCTCTTTTTTGTAGCATTGACGCATGCCAGCTCTCCTCGTGGAACCTTCCCCAAACATTAGGGAATCACTGGTTTTGAGATTCAGGCCCCCCTAGTCTTCCATCATAGCTTTCCTGTCTTGGGTCCACAGTTGACTGAGGGCCCTCTTAGCCCTTTAATTGTCTTTAGCTGTTTTGCTGCAGAAATAATGTCCCAATGTGGAAAAAAAGCGCAAGGTGGTTCCAGGTACCCCCTCCACTTATCATGCGAATTTTTCCTGGGCATCTTCTTGTATGGCTTTTGTGCTGAATCACTGGGTCTTTTCTTGCTACTTTGTAATTTTGGTTTGTTGGTTTGTTTTCCCTACCCCCTTGCCAGTACCAAAGCCTGTGCTCAAATTGCTCAGTCAATTAATAGGAAAAAAGATTGATTTTTTAACCTGTACTCACAGATTGTCCCAAGTTTCGACGGGCAGCCTTCCTTTCGCAGCTGCCCAAGCAGCTCCCTTCTTGCCTGTGAGCTCAGCCACAGGGTTCCCGTACTTGTGCAGCCTCCTGGGCTCCTTCCCTTGATGTCCTTGAGAGTTATTCGTTTTTCATTTTATGCGTCTGGGTGCTTTGCCCCCACGTCTGTCTGTGGACCACTTGCATGCCTTGTGCCTGAAGAGGCCAGGAGAGGGTGTCAGGTCCCTTGGAACTAGAGTGAAAAAAACAATGTGGGCTGCCGTGTGGGTACAGGGACTCGAACCGCAGCCTCTGGTCTTGCAGCACTCTTAAGTTCAGAGCCATCAGTCCAGTACCACCCTCAGTGTCTGTACACGTTTCTGTTCCCTTCGATTCATCCAGAAGCCCAGGTCCGCTCTCACTGGCTCTCTCTCCCATCCGCTGCTCCGTTTTCAACCTGTTTCTATATAATCCACCATCCTAAGGTGTTATCTTCCAATTGTTTTAGCACAGGAATGTGTGAGCCGGTGGGAGTAGGGGCCACGTCCTTTAATTCTGCTTTACTATCACTTACACAAAACATTATAAAGGGCAAACAGAGAAAACTAGGTAGAAGAGGTAAGCCAATAGTCCTCTGCCTCCTGTTCAGCTTCTCCATTCCTAGAACGTATAGAAAGGAAGCAGCACAATGGCGCAGCACATAAAGGCACTTCCTGCCAAGCCTGAATTTGATTCCTAGAATATTCATGGTGGAAGAAGAGAACCAACGATTGTGTGTTGTCTTCTGAGCTCCACTTACATATCATAGTGTGTGCAAGTGCGCGTGTACACACACAAAGTAAATAAACAAAATTTCTAATTTTATAAAAAATGATTACAAAAAAAATTATATGATAATTTTATTTTTTGAGGAGTTCATGAATGAGCAGTGCATCTACATGCTGTACCCCTCCACCTTTTCCTGTGTCCCCTCCCAAATGCATGCTCTCTTCTTTAATTGTTACATGTATATACATGTGTGCATACATACATACACACACATATATACAATAGACATATGTATGCACGCATATATATACAGCCTACTGAGTCCATTTAGCTTCACTAGTGTGCACACGTGTCCAGGGATGACATCTGTGAGGGCTTGTCCCCGGAGAAAAATGGTTCTTTCTCTCCCAGCGGGATCCACCCCTTGTAGCTCTTCGTGTAGGGGTGGGACCATGTGGAGTTTCCATCTGTGTTGGCATGTCAGCTGGTGTTGTCACCATGGGTACTATTACAGAGCACCACAACTGCTCAAAGTGTAGATAATAAGTGACTGTGGGCTGCCCAACTCCAACTGGCTGATCTGCAACACCCACCATGCACCTAAGATTAGGGACAATCACAGAAAGGGGCATGGGAAGATTGTGTGAGCCAGAAGTCCAGGACAGCTGCTGTGAGAGCACATCTTCTCTGTGCGGCAGCAAAGAACCCATGAGCTTTCAACAATATGCTTACCCAACCAAGCCCAGCATAATGACAAAAAGCGATATCTTAAAATGCAGCAATTACATGCTTACTGTAAAAACTTCCAACTCCGCAGATAGAGGCATCTAAAGTTTCAGATGAAAATCTTCCTTTCTCTTCACCCCTCCAGTCTACCTTCCTAGAGTTCTGAGTTTAGGGTATGGTCTTACAGACGTTTGGAGAGAGGGGTATGGTAGGCACAAACAACGTTGGGATAGCAGTCACATTCTGAACTCCAGTGAAAGAGTCACACACCTCATAGTGTGTGGAAGCCACCAGGGTGAGTCCCTCGGTCCTGTCTTCCTGCAGACCACATCCAGTGAAAACATGAGGGACTTCGCCACTACCTTAAAGAATAAATTCCGCTCAAAGCAGTATTTCAGCAAACACCCGCAGCGAGGCTATCTGCCTGTGCAGTCAGTGCTGGAGACTGAGTGCAGTGAGACGTGAGTACTGGTGGCCTCGCAGAGGCTGGAGGCTGCTGGTGGCCCCATGCAGCTCACTTATGCTGTGAAGGGGCTGAGTCCCCGATGAGCTGGAGAAAGTTCCCAAGTGAAAGCCCCTAGCAAACAAGGCGGTTGAGCTTGAGTCTGACTTAGCCTCTGGCCTGAGAAATAGAGGAGGATTCGATCTGCTCTCTGCATCGGATTACCATCTTGGCAGGGGAGGGGTGGGAGTGCTGACAGACAGACAGGTTTTCAGTTGCCTCTGGTGCTCTTAATCTTTACTACTTTCCCCCAGACCGGCTTCTTCCTCGATGTTGCCACATGCGGACACACACTCTCGAATTGAGCATTTCGCCAGCAGGTACCACTGCCTTTCACTGGGAGTTTGGGTGGGGACTGTCGGAAGTGCAAGGGCAAGGAGACTTGGAATGAACCAGGGGAGATGCAGAGTGAACTGTCCATGGCCAGTGGTGGTAGGTGGGGGCCCCGCTCCCAAAGCCCCAAAGCCGGTTATCCGATTGCACCATTAGATTGCTGGAGGTGGAAGCAGGCCCCACATCCTGCTTTTTCTCTTACTGTGGCTCTTTCTTTCTAGGCTTGCTGAGATGGAAAGTCAAAATTGTTCCTTTTTTAATGACAGCCTGTCCCCGGATGACAGCATGTGAGTTTCTACAGCTGCTAATTTTCCAGAAATAGCTGTCCTTGGGATCCTTCTGCCACTGTTTGAGAATGGGAGGCTGGTGGCTAGGGTCCTTGATTCTCCGAGGAAGGAAGGCTGCTTCCTGACTACACTGTTTAGTAAGAGAGGCAATTTTCCATCTGTCAACTGAGCCATCTACCCAAGCCCCTTCTATCACAAGATCCCATCCTTCCATGCCTAACTTTTGGGGGGGGGGAAGCTCCTATCTGAAGTTACAGAAAGGAGCTGTTATCTCATGCTCAAGATACAAAACCCCATCTAATGCTACAGCAACCCTAGGAGAAGGCAGAGACTCCCAATTGAAGTCTGGCCTAAGGGAGCCCTGGTGTTAGAGCATGGAGAGGGTGCCCTTGCATCTTTTAAAGGAGGTCCCTTGCCTGTAAAGAAGGCCCAGGGACAGCTGACTATATAAGACAATCTGGTCTTGACTGGGACTCAGATCCTTCTGGGAGGAGAGAAAGAAAGGGGACATCGAAATGGCAACAGCACAGAAAGAGAAGTGATTTTCTTATTGAGAAGATCTCAGAAGCATCAGCATCCTGGAAATATCTCCCAGTCCTCTCTCAGATACTGCCTCTTTCAACTTCCAAAGCCTGAACTTGAGGCCTGGCTTTCTTTACGTGACTTCAAAGTGGATGGGCCAGCATAGCTTTTCTGGGGACTGAGCCAGGATCTGAGCACTGGCTCCCTGACTTGCGTCTGTGTTCAACACCTGGTCACCTCCTTTCCTCTCCTTACACCCATGCAGAGATGAGGACCAGTACCTGTTGCGACACTCCAGCCCCATCACAGACAGGGAGCCAGCCTTTGGACAGCAGGCTCCGTGTGGCATGGGGACAGAAAGCAAAGGAGAGCTAGAGAAGATCCTGGCCCATTTAGAAGATGAGAACCGGTAGGTGTGGCCAGGGCATAAATTTGTGTGGTGCCAGAGGCTGGTGCCTTGAGTTTCAGTCTTGATACTTCATGTGCTATACAACCTGGATCAAGTCATTTACATCCTATGATCTTCCATTTTCTTGTCTGTATGATAGGGATAATGATGCCAGTTTCCCAGGGTTACTTTGAGGATCAGATGTAATATAACCCTGACTTTTCCAAGTACCCACTAGATACACTAGGCAGAGAGAACCCTAGAAGAATGCAGAAGAGAATATAACCTGTCTTTGCTCTCAAAGAACTTTCTGTACTAAAACTTGAAAGAACTACTTGATCCTGAATGAAAGTTTCCCAGGGGGTTGTGACAGTACGTACAGAATTTCCGAACCAGAAGAGACAAAGTACCAGGGATGCCATTAATCTCACAGAGGAAGAGGCCCGAGGAAAGTTGACAGCTCTTGGAGGGAGGCAAGTAACAAGTGCAGAGCCTCTTGGAGCAGAGTCCTGTGGGAGCGCTGTGCACAACAGAGTCCTGTGGGAGCGCTGTGCACAGCAGAGTCCTGTGGGAGCGCTGTGCACAGTAGAGTCCTGTGGGAGCGCTGTGCACAGTAGTACATTGCAAAGCTTGGGAAGCCCCAAGTCCTGACTCCTCAAGGTGTGGGGCCTGAGTTTCTGTTTCTAACCAGCTGTCAGGGGCTGTTAGGGTCCCCGGTCCGCATGCCCGCCTCGGAGTGGCGAGCCTTAGAACAGTGTGCCTCGAGTGGTGGAGTGCAGGTGAGGACCAGCTTGCAAAGTGTGTGTCACCAGTCCAGGAAAGACAAGCACACAAATAGACAGTAGGGGTTTCGAAACTTTTCTCGCAAACTTGACATGGTCAGGATCAAGCACATGGCTAGTGGTCCATCACCCTGAACAGGCTGGAGATGGATTTGAGTGGTGTAGAGCCTGCGCAGCAGGGAATGGCAGTGTTGTGAACTGTGAATGGTTGTGAGCATTAGGACATCATATCATTATACAGTGGTGTGAACTAAAATCAAAACCCTGCTTCCTCACTAGGGGTGGTCTGGAGAACTGCTCCGTTAGAGCAGTGGGGAGCCGGCGCTGGGAAATGCTAGCAAGAGTGATTCTGTTTGCGCAAACAACAGGAAGTAGTGGGCCTAAAAGTAGGCTGGCTCTTTGGAGTGTTTCCTCGACTCATTGTGAGCACTCAAAGCAGGTCAGATGGGGGGCTGTAGGGAGAAGAAGCAGGTCAGATGGGGGGCTGTAGGGAGAAGAAGCAGGTCAGATGGGGGGCTGTAGGGAGAAGAAGCAGGTCAGATGGGGGGCTGTAGGGAGAAGAAGCAGGTCAGATTGGGGGGCTGTAGGGAGAAGAAGCAGGTCAGATTGGGGGGCTGTAGGGAGAAGAAGCAGGTCAGATTGGGGGGCTATAGGGAGAAGAAGCAGGTCGGATGGGGGGCTGTAGGGAGAAGAAGGTCAGATGGGGGGCTGTAGGGAGAAGAAGGTCAGATGGGGGGCTGTAGGGAGAAGAAGCAGGTCAGATGGGGTCTTTAGGGAGAAGAAGGTCAGATGGGGGGCTGTAGGGAGAAGAAGGTCAGATGGGGGGCTGTAGGGAGAAGAAGCAGGTCGGATGGGGGGCTGTAGAGAGAAGAAGAAGGTCAGATTGGGGGGCTGTAGGGAGAAGAAGCAGGTCGGATGGGGGGCTGTAGGGAGAAGAAGCAGGTCAGATTGGGGGGCTGTAGGGAGAAGAAGCAGGTCGGATGGGGGGCTGTAGAGAGAAGAAGGTCAGATGGGGGGCTGTAGGGAGAAGAAGGTCAGATGGGGGGCTGTAGGGAGAAGAAGCAGGTCAGATGGGGGGCTTTAGGGAGAAGAAGGTCAGATGGGGGGCTGTAGGGAGAAGAAGGTCAGATGGGGGGCTGTAGGGAGAAGAAGCAGGTCGGATGGGGGGCTGTAGGGAGAAGAAGAAGGTCAGATTGGGGGCTGTAGGGAGAAGAAGCAGGTCGGATGGGGGGCTGTAGGGAGAAGAAGCAGGTCAGATGGGGGGCTGTAGGGAGAAGAAGCAGGATAGGTGATCTCTTTATGTATGCTGTCTTCCCTTAGAATCTAAAAGTCTATAAGTGGAGTAGGTAAGCGATTTGCACTAATGCCTCTTTTATTTGCAGAACATGTTCGTGCCTGCTTTTGAAGGTCAAAATTAATCCCCAAAGCATCAAAGCCCTAAGACATTTCTTATGTGAAATGTCAGTTCACTACTCTGAGGCCTCAGGATGGCACAGTAAATGTCAAATGGCCTGGAGAGGAAATGGCTGTGGCCCTCTCAAGCAGAGCATTGCCAGGGATTGGGTTAGGAGAGCCCAGTGACCCCTCACACCTGGGAAAGGGGAGGCCCTGTGGAATCTGGATAGCCAATTGACCCTGTTAAAGCCCTAGTTCTTGGCTTCCATGTCCATGGCAGGATTCTCCAGGGAGAGCTGAGGCGCCTGAAGTGGCAACACGAAGAAGCAGCGGAGGCACCCACCCTGACTGAGGGCCCCAGTGAAGCAACTCCGGACCACCGCAATGAGGAGCTCCTGGCTGAAGCCAGGATCCTGCGGCAGCACAAGAGCCGCCTGGAGACACGCATGCAGATCCTTGAAGACCACAACAAGCAGCTGGAGTCTCAGCTGCAGCGCCTGAGGGAGCTGCTCTTGCAGGTGAGGCTGGGGATACAGAAGCAGGGTGGCCCCTGTCTCAGGAGGAGGGCATGGAGAGATAGGGGTGCAGCAGAGAAAAGAGAAAGCACCCCTTGACTGAGGCAGTCAGGTGACTTCTTGGGATGAGCTGACGGGCAACCGGAATGAAGGGACGAAGAAGGAAATGGGCGGTATGGCTACATCCTCTTCCACACCACCTCTCTTGTGAGTCCCAAACTGCCTCCGGCCTGGAGGCAGAGGAAGGACTTTTAAGGACTTTCTAGTTTGTAAGCGGCGTAATAACAAGGCTAACTTAATATGAAACAGCAAATTTTAATGAAGGGATAGCTTACAACACCAGGGATCCAGCGATGAGCAGGAGATACAAAAAAGAGACCAGCGGGGCTCAGGCCCGCCAGATTTATACATAAACATTAGCCAGAGGTGAACACGTGTCCCCCCCCCAATGGGCTGGGCTATCCCTACACTAGTTCTCAGCCCATTGGAATCTGGTATTAAAAGAACTCACTTCAAAACCCATCTGAGACAAAGGGGCTCAGTTAGTAAAGCACCAAGCACAAGGGCCCCGATTGGATCGGCAAAGGCCATGTTTAAAAGAATATGCCAGATGTGGTAACACACATGGAATCGCCGTGCCAGGGACGTGGATTACTGGGGCTTGCGGGCCAGCCTAGCCTACTGGGTGAGTTCCAGGCCTGTGAAGGACCTGTCTCTTAAAATAAAGAAAAGCAAGGTGGATAATACCTGAGGAATGACACCCAAAGTTGTTCTCTGGCCCCCGCAGTCATGGCCGTACATGTACACTCACGAGCGCAACACGCCAACACATAGTCCAAAATGTGGCATTTTCAGGTTTGGACATGCTTGGCAAGAGAAATATATTGCCATAAAGGGCTTCCTTTTTGTCTCTGGGAGGTCAGGCAGCTCTGGGGTCAGACAGCCTGGGTTTGAATATAGTGCTGTAAGCCAGTGCCTGGGGGTGCTGGGAAAGTTCTGTAACCATATCTGGCCCCAGTTCTCTTGTCTGTAAAACAGAGGTAGTGATAAAGCAGCTCAGTTTTTAAGTGAGACAAACAACAGAGCTAAAGAGATGGCTCCGCAGTTAAGAATGCTCAGCTCTTCCAGAGGACCAGAGTTGAGTTGCCCAGCACCCATGTAGTGCAGTTCACAACCAGGAGTAACTCCAGGTCCAAGGGATCAGACACCTTCTTCTGACCTCTGGAAGTACCTGCACACCTGTGCCATACACTCACAGATGCATATGCAAAATTAAAAGATAAAAAATACATCTTTTTTTAAAAAGGACCAACAAGATGGCTCAGCTAATAAAATCCTCCCCACACAGTCCTGACAACCTGAGTTCAATCCCTGGAACCCACATAATGGTGGAAAGAGAGAACCAACTCCACGAAGTTCTCCTATAACCTACACATATGCCCCATAACATATACGAGTCTCCACACAGCACACACATATACATAGTAATAGTGATAATAATAATTTAAAAAGTAATACCACCAGCATCGTAGGATTTTAATCATCCTAAAAATCAAATAATGCTCCAACAGTGGGGGCGCATGCCTTTAATCCCAGCACTTGGGAGGCAGAGGCAGGTGGATCTCAGTGAGTTCAAGGCCAGCCTAGTGTACAAAAGCTAGTTCCAGGACAGTCACAGCCAGGGCTACACAGAGAAAGCCTGTCTAGAAAAAAAAACCCAAAATTAAATAGTGCATGTTGCATAATTCAGGTAGATACCAGGAATATAGTACACTCGTGATAGATGTTAGCTGTCATTGTCATCATATGCAATAGACAGTGGCATCCCTTCTCTGCATTATCTTAAGAACAGCTTTTTTTTCTTGAGCAGTTTTTAAGTTCACATTCATGTAATATTTTTATCATGGCCTCTTTGTACATTTCTGTGATCATACTTTGTTCTCCCTCATTGCCCTGCTCTATGCCCCCTCTAGCTAGTTCCCTTCCTTCTCCCCTCATCAGCCCCCCATTCTGCCTTCTTTATGGTATGTATTCCATTGCCCTCTCTGGTTCAGGGACAGTATTTAATAAATTCCTTGAGTTTCCTAACATATACTCTTATGTCATGAACTCGGAATCAGGTATACAGCGAGAAAACTCCAGAGAAAATTGGACTCTAAAAATGTTTAATTATAATTGAAATGGCAGCAAGAGACCTTTAGGTGCAGTGTTGTTCTTAAGAACCAGGAGCCTTTGACTCGTGTTGTTAAAGGAAGAATTTAATTGATACCTGGATCATCTAAGAGGTTTCCTAAAGGGGAAAGTCCTGGTTTATGGCACTATGAAAAGCTTCATAGAGACCCAGGGCATAAGGATAGGCATGAGGTCTCTAAGTCCCTTTCAAAGTCGGGAGTCTAAGAGGTCAGAAAGGCAAAGCCACTGAAATCCTGTCTTAACTCTTGCTAGCCACCTACTGAATCAGATGGCAATGGCTCTGCAGGCTCATCCCTGGCTTCCTCGCCACACCAGTCAGAAGGCAGTCATCCCCGGGAGAAGGGCCAGACTACCCCAGACACTGAGGCAGCAGGTAAGTTCCCCCACCTATCCCCTTCCTCCAGCCATTTGTCCTACCTTAGATTGCCTGCCCAAAGTTTTGCTAGGGCTGGGACTAGGGTTGTTTTTGTGTATAATTGATTTCTTAACTGTTTCTCTCATATGCATCTTCTAAAAAAGTAACTGTCTAGCGAGTGACTTCTACAGGCTAGTCTTCCGAACAGGAGGGTGAGAGTACTCTGGACCCCTTATCCAGACAACAGCACCCGACTTCAAGTGCTGGGATTAAAAGCATGTGCCACCATCACCTGGCTAGCTTCCTTTTTTGTTGAATTTATTTATTTTATGTGCAGTGGTGTTTTGCCTGCATGTATGTAAGGCAATCTCGAGTAATCTTTCCCGATATTTCTCTTCCAACTTAGATGACGTGGGGTCAAAGAGCCAGGATGTCAGCCTATGCTTAGAAGACATCATGGAAAAACTCCGTCATGCCTTCCCCAGAGTGCGAAGCTCCGATGTGACTGCCAATACCTTGATGGCCTCTTGATGGAGTCAGATCCCCATCCCGTAGTCCATTTCCTTTCCTGATTCTTGTCAAGGCCTTCCCTCAACCTTTGCCCAACCATTCCAGTATCCACTGACCCCATATTCCTCAACCAGAGCTATTTGGACCTGGGGCAGCAGCAGGGATCCAGTGGTGTGTGAGATGTGGTGGGGATGGGGGAGGACAGGTGTGCTTCCTCTGGAAATGTTCCGGTTAATCTGTTAGAGCGAGGCTATCCCTCATGCAATCCTGCTGTTGCAGCCCAGGCAAAGGCAAATTGCACTTGTCGTCCAGATGAAGAGCAGAGAATGACCTTGCAGAGCTAAGCAATGCCCACTGGTCCCTTTCCCTTCTCTGTGGAATCATGGGGTGGGGGGAATGTCTAATGGCCTCAGGGTGTCTGCATTCCGGAAACCCGGAGGGGTTAGTTCTACTCCCTGGCCTGATCGAAAGAGGCAAATGGGTATCCCTGAGACACCCTTTCAGAGTGCCCCTTAGGGAAATCTAGACCGTGTATGTCCTGTTACTTCAGTTACAGAGCATAGGTCTCACCTTGCAGATTCTACCTACATGTTTCTCACTGCAATACCTTCAGTTCCTCTTGCCACAGTACCTATCAGACTTCTCTGAGGGGACAGTTCATTGTGGACATGCTTCCACCTTATATTTGGAAACACTAAAGAAATACTTGTGGGTTTATATTTCCCCCATGATCCTCCTGTTTCCTGAAGATCTTGCCATCCCACGAGACTCCTTGAGAGGCTCTAGAGCCCATCTGAAACCACTCTTTGGTCTTCCAAGTCTGTCCCCACAGATTCGGGGCAGGAGTGGCAGCCTCTTCAGCAAGGATGCCTTCCTTGTTCACTCTCTCCGTGGGTGAGAAAGGAAAAGAAACCCTCTATCCTTGGGGAGTGTGAGCCTGCCACTCTCCAAGCTATAGCCATTTGGTAGCATAGGCTGGATTAGGTGAGGTGGCTCTTTACCCCCAGCTGTTCACTGGAAAGTTACAACTGACCAGCCTGAATAGTGGTCCCTGCCTAAAAACCGCCAGACTTGAATCTGAAAATGGGCCCCATTCCACCCATATAGCACCAATGTCTTCCTGTGCATAAAACTGTTGCTAACTCTGAAATGTGAACCCAGTCCTCAAAATGAACTAACTTTTCCTAGACTGTATATACCATGATTCCTTTGTCTAGCAACTGTTCAAAATAGAGTATGGAGATGAGAAGAGCTGGGGAACTTGGAACACAGACAAAGCCCACTTAGGCTACTTTCTAGAAAAGCGCTTCCTCCCCAGAATCTTGCAGCTGACTAAATTTTGAGTTTATCCATGCATCTGTATCTATTCTACATATCTACCATCTATCAGTGCTCCCCAGCCTCACCCACACATTAAATTCTAATACTTCTTGAAGAATTAGCGCCCTGCCTTGCTCTCTCTGTTAGCCTCAGTCTCTGGCTGGGAAGATAGAGCCTAGGATGTTTCTCTCCATTGATATTTGAGGTGAGCTGACCTTAAGACCAAAGCGATGGAAGTCTGTGGCCACAGAGTAATCGAACAAGAAGAGACATTCTGTTCTCTTCACTAATTCCAAGTTTCATTCCATGGACACTTGGGAAATTTTGTATCTAACTTCTCTAACAATGATTCAGGAACCAAAGTAGAGCACATCCCACCTCTACCCACTCCACACAGAAAAGAAGGAACAAAAGGAGCCTGCTGGCCTATGCCAGGCTAAGACAGAATACATCCCATGGTCCCCTGAGCTCCTAAGCTCTGGCTCATGGTCTTACAGAATGCAGTGGTTGTCACCAAGGTCAGGAGGGAGTGGGATGATTGGAGTTCTGTGGTATAAACCAAGCCATGGCCAACATACGGAACTGCTAGGAACCTGGTCTGATGTATTCTGGGGGAGACAGAGCAGGGGCTTGATTGAAATCAAGATTGCATTCTCCCCAACCACACCACAGGTTCAGGGGTCCAATTTCATGTCTGGAGATCTCTGGGCTAAAGATTCTGCTTATCTGGTGAGCATTTGGTAAGCAAGCCTCAAACAGAGAGCCAGGTCATCATCAGAAGGAGGTGTCATTGTTGAGGCCTAGATTGTGAGCAGCATGCAGATCATTTTGTTGTGGAACGGGAGAATCGGGAACTACCAAGTGTGTGCTTCCCTAGGGCTTAGGAGCACGGATGCTATGGGATAATCTTTTATGAGGAGAGTCCTTTCTTTAGCCTCCACCCCACTAGAGAGCTCTTAGGCAGCTGAGGGTCTGTGACAGTGGCCTTGGACTGGACTTGGGGAAAAGATATTGATCTTGTTATGTAGGACTTGTGCTGGAGGTAGACCGGAGCAGCAGGTCAAGGTTGGAGCCTCACTAAGGGAGTCACTGGCACTTTGCCGTCTTGTGTTTCCCTGCAATGCCTGAGGTGAGTGTCTTGCTCAAGGGTCCAGTAGCAGTCACTGCTGCATGTATAGGCAATTGCCATGCAGTGATGAAAATGGCCCCTTGGACCGTGTGAATCCACACTGGGGTTGAATTTAGCAAAAATGTCTTCTATGTTTTGGGGTAAGTTGTGTGTTGTAACTCCTAAAGGAGTCATGTATAATGTATGGCCCTAGCCTGGAAAGTAGCGGATGAGTCTGGATGAATCGCTAGGTTAGTAGCCTAAGGAGAACTTTCTGACTGAGGAGATTAGGATCAGTGATGAGGAACGTGTTTACTGGACTGGTTATCCAATAGTGTAGGCCATTTCCTCTGGACGGAATTCGATAGAGAACAACAAGCCATAGGGTAGACAGTTGTGCTTTTGGCGCCAGCAGGGGAGCCTCACAATGATTGGCAATTGTTCCGGAAGGCTGACTGGCTGGAAGACATAAGACTGTGGTACATAGTTCCCTGGAGAGTTTTCCACCCAGGGGTGCCCTTCTCTTCAGAATGCGGAGGATGGCTCTCGATGTTTCCCTCAAGGCCTAGAGTGAGGCAGTATTTCCCTGTGAAGAAACCTGACTGAGCTTTCAGGTGTTTTGTGAACGGGTCTGGCAGACCACAATTGCTAAAAAGAAACTAAGGGGAAAGGCAGAGGCCAAGCCTGGGAGATCTTGACCACCAGATTAGTTTTAAGGACTACCTTTGTTTCCTGGGCTATGTGTTTTAAAAGCGTTTGGGAGGTTCCATGTCCAGCTTCAGGCTAGAGCATTTTTGAACTCATATTTTCAGTGGCAGAGTTGTGGCCTTTGGGGACCATTTTCTGTCAGTAATTCCATCCAATTTCCCTTGATACTGTTGACAGATAACCAGCAAAGTTGCTGCCTTTTTAGGAACAGTCCTGGGAGAGAACCTGGAGGCATTACCCTAAGGCTGTGGCAATTTACCTCCTCATCTGGGTAGCCCAATCAGTGGACCTCCCTGTAGAAGCCTGATACTTGGAACAAAGAAATACTTCTAATTGTTTAATGCATTGGACTGTGGGGGGGGGGACTCAAGGCCAGGGCTCCTTTCCCAGTGTCCATCTCCTCCTTTGGTTGCCATATTTGGAAGTAAACCTGATGAATATCCTTGCTGTTCCCAAGGCAGTACTACAGGCAGACGGAAGTCTGCTGTGCTGTTGTTTCCTGGCAGCAAGAACGAATCAAAAGGATGAAAATTAGGGAGGGGGGTTGGGGAGGAGGTGTCAAGGATGGCATGCAACTGTGTAAAAGTTTGGGATGAAGGGTTGGGGCTAGGAGAAAATGGGTTAACTTCAGTTGCCACTCACTGTGGTGCTTTTTCCATTTTATCCTTGAATTCTGCTTTAAAAAGAATAAATTTGTATTTGTTTACCTTGCTTCCTCTGGTTCTTCTCTCCAATTATGACATTCTGCCATCTTCCAATATTTCAGGATGGAAAGAGCAAAGCATAGGTCAAGAAGTCACAGGGAAGCCGGGCGGTGGTGGCACACGCCTTTAATCCCAGCACTCAGGGAGGCAGAGGCAGGCGGATCTCTGTGAGTTCGAGGCCAGCCTGGTCTACAAGAGCTAGTTCCAGGACAGGAACCAAAAGCTACGGAGAAACCCTGTCTCGAAAAATAAAAAAATAAAAAAAGCCACAGGGACACTGTCAAACAGGCCACAGTTACCTCTATTCATGGCCCCTTCAAGTTTCCTCTTCCAAAAGAAGAGCTTGCCTCACAGGATAAGTAATGCTTTCTAAATTTTCTCATTGATCTGAGATTTTCTAGTAGGTGAAACAATATGAGAAAAATCAAGCCTACTACTGTGAGTTTAAATATAAAGCATATATATATATATTTATTTATTCAGTTTATTTTGAATATATATATATATATATATATATATATATATATATATATGTTGTTGTGCCCAGATTACGACCTCCAGAGAGAGACCATCAGAGAGGCCCAGACTGTAATAAGCAAGGTTTAATCAGTATAATACAAACATGTTTGGAACCCCTGTCTACTAACCCCATTATAGTGGGGTAGAGAGAGGAGTTGTATCTCCTCTGTGGGGTAAGCTTTTAAAGGCATAACTACAAAGAGAATCTTTGAAGCTGCTTTGGCACGGGTGCAAGGACTTTTGCTCCCTCCCATTTTGCTAAGTCAACTTTTTCTCTTTTTCTTAGAGCAAGGCCCCTGTTCCTGAGTTAAGCCATCTTTATCAGCCTGTACCAGGTGGCTGGCTGGGCTGAGCTAAGTGACCTTGTGTTCGGAATCTCCTGGGTGGGAGAGGGGAAGGCCACTATCTTCCTGGGGAAACATTCTGCTAGGAAATTTCTTCTTGCCCCTTTGAGAATAAGGGGTGAGGGTCCTACATTTCCCCACTCCTCTTGGTCTTACGGCTCAGCTCAATCACGAGCTGACTTTGCTAACTTTGGCCAAATTGTCTCTTACAATTACAGAGTCTTTTTATGTTTTTTTTTTTGACTTAACATTTTAACCAGGGATTATTGGAGGATGTATTGTTTTAACTGCTTCCAGCTAACTTTGGGTGTCATGGTC